TAACTCTATAAATAGAAATCTTAATTGATTCTTTTTTCGAGGGTCCCATTTGACGTCGACTAATGACGAGTAATAGAAATATACCTAACTAATTTAGCCAATTTTATATTCTATTTATTTCTTTTTAAATCACTCTTTATCAAGAGGGTTAACTTAAGCAAAAAAAATTTTACTTGTTTAAATAAGTGATCTCGGTGTCGAGTATTTGTGTATGTAAAAATTTTCTTGGGTAGTTATACTCGTTTTATTCATTTGATCGACTAACAAAAGATTATTTTAGACTTTTAAATATTGGATATCCCGGAGATATAAAAAAAGACATTCACTCTTCCCTATTCGACCAATACCCATTTACTAGTATTATTGCTTTTAGAATTCATAAAATTAGAAATCCAACTAAAATTGAAAAAATCAAAAATTGATAATAAAACAGGAGTAATTTTTGCCATTAAACCAGGGAAAAACAAAAGGAATCAAAGACTCAATAAAATATTGAGAGGGTTTCAAGGGAGCTCATTTTTGGACTTTGAGTTAAGCAAATCATGCCAAGAATTTTTTTAAAAGAAGAAGAAGCAATTATTGAAAAAATTTAAAACATGTAAGAAATATTTCTTTAATGTGATCAATTTTTTTTTTAAATTAATAAATTAATATTATATGTTATCCTATACTAATGGTAATAGACAAATATCCAACTAATTTAGCCAATTTTATATTCTATTTATTTTTCTTTTTGAAATTACTCTTCACCGAGAGGGTTGACTTGAGCGGAAAAAATTCTAATTATTTAAATAAGTGATCTTGGTGTCGAGTATTTGTATACGCAAAAATTTTCTCAAATAGCTATGTTCGTTTTATTTGTCCGACCGGATAACAAAAGATTAGTTTAGACTTTTAAATATAGGATATCCCGGAGATCTAAAAAAGAAAAACAATCACTCTTCCCTATTCGATCGATGCCCATTTACTAGTATTATTGTTTTTAGAATTTATAAAAATTCATAAAGTTAGAAATCCAAGTAAAATTGAAAAACTCGAAATACCATTAAATAATGGGAGTCAAACTACTCCTAGAAAAATACCTTAGGTAATAAATAGCATATACCATAATGCATAGACTTTTTTATTTTACCTCTAGGGTGAAAGTGAGAGCAACTCTAATCATGACCTAGTCTATAAGCATTTGTTGATATTTTTCAAGGTTGTCGCTACACGACGTCGGATGAGACCCCCCAAAAGAAAAATAAGAGTCCGGGTGTTAATCATTTACAAAATTATTTATAAAGCTTTGGAGTCTCCACCTAATATTTAAGGAACTAGGAACCTAAAAGTAGTACTAGTTCGGAGATTCCTAAGGTAAGAGTTGGTTACGCTTTTAGGAAGATATTTAATCACCTAAAAGCGCCCTTTTCGGAAAAAGGTACCATATATGATTTAATTCTAAATTATCTCCTAAAATCCATGTCAAGCTATTTTCTAAATTTTAATCTCCTATTTTCTTTTAGACTAAGTGAATTTTTTAGTTTTGGGCGTGACATCATATTAAAATGATCGTCGGTCTCCTTCGTTGGGTGACACGTCGATTCAAACATTAGATCTACTAAAAGCCTTGACACAACCGGCATATCGGAGGACTTCTTAATTAAAAGGTGGTTTTGATGATGTCAGCCCCTATCAAATAGGAGGCTTCGTCAAAATTTTAGGCATTTTTTTTATGACGTCGGTCCCTATCGGATAGGAGACTTCGTCAAATATATATATATAATTTTTCTAGCAATACCTATTAAAGAAAAAAATAAAATTGAAATAAAAATTCTAAATTAATAAAGAAAAACTATAAGAAATAAAATAGACGAGGCTAAAAAAAAATTAAATGAATAAAAAAGGATAAAAAAAATAATCCTATATAAACGAGTAAAAAAATAAATGACAATAAAAGTGATAAAACAAAAAAAATCCTATATCTAAAATATTAACCTACCACTTTTACTCTTTTTTTTTTTTTTACCCATCCCCATTTTTTCCTTCTTTCTTCTTATTTTTTTCTTCCCTAATTTTATTTTTTATTTTTTCATTTCCCTTTTTTTTTTTTTTTTGGGTTTTTGAAAAGTGGGTCATGGGCTGGGTTCCCTTTTTTTATTTTTATTTTTTGGGGAAAGGGTGCGGGCTGAGTCGAAATCAACCCGGCCCCTTTTCTTTTTCTATTTTTTTTTGGGTGGGAGGCACGAGCCGGATCGAAATCGATCCAGCCCACGCATGTTTTCCTTTCCCCTTTTTTTTTTTTTTTTGCTAGGCTTAAGCCTAGAAACGAGCCCGAGTAAGCTGCTTAGACAAAAACGGATCAAACACCCGAATAACTCTCCCTCTCTCCTATTCTTAGTTCGTTCTTCAATTTCTCTCTCTAGTTCTTCAAGCTTTCGGAAATTGAAGACTCCTTTTCAAGCAACGAGACTCAATCACACACATCACAATTCAAGACAAGAAATAAATAGCAAGTGAACATCCGGAATTAAAATGAACAACGAATAAATAAAAAACGGGGAATCGAATTTAGGGACTCACACGGAAAACTTCCGAAGAACACCAAGACGAACCCGGAAAATTAAAAGAAAAAACCCAAAAACGCAACATCAAGAGTACTTGTTTCTCGCGAATTTATTGAAATCTTGCTCTCGATTTCCTTTCCTTTGTCCTAACAAACTAAAATCTTCCTCGAATTGAAGTCAAAGATGCCTCGAGTCGATTCCGGGTTGAAGAACACAAACCCGAAATATGAACTTTCAACCCGTAACCTAGAAAACCCGACTACCGACCAAAATTGAAAATCAATCTTTTATTTTTTTCTTGTTTGGATTTCCTATATCTCAACCTAGAATTCTTCGCCCAATTCCTCTCCCTCTTTTCTTCTTGAAATTCGACTCCTTTTATAGCCAAAAAATTTCCTAAAATCGAATCTAAATCCCCGACTTTTCCGTCAAAATTTTTTTCCTCTTTAATTCATGATTAATTGTGAAATCAAAACGAGAAATTCTCATTGATTCCTCGTTAGTGTTGGTTTTGGCAACAAAATCCATGATTAATACACAATTAAAACAAGAAATTCATGAAGGATTTGGGCGATTCTCCCAAAGATTTTCGAGAGAATCGCCTTGGAGCGAACGACGAGTCGTCCGCTCCATTTCGGGTCATGTCGTTCGCTCCAAACTTTCGGCTTGGTCCTCGCGTTTCAATTTCAGCAATTATGCCCCTCTGCGAAATAATTTCAGCACAATCTCAGCAATTAGGTCCCCGGAGGTACAATTTAAGGCCTAAACTTTTTAATTGACTCGATTACACCCCTAATTACTTCAATTGTATCCCTAAATGAATATTTTTTTGTTTTTTTTCATCATTTTCTTTCTTCTTCTTTTTTCTTTTTCTGTCTTTTTTTTTTTTTTAATAAACTTCAAATTAAAAAAAATAAACATAAAAATAAACATAAAAAAATAATAAATAAGAAAAATTTTGGTTATTACAAAGGTCTTTAATTATCTTGTGCTGGTGTTAATAAATGCAAGTGTAATATTTCTTGAGCTATTTACATATGGTTTAGTGGTGACAAATTAATCATATTAGCTTATTGAAATCAAAAGATGGAGACTAGAGTCATGTATGGATGAGAGCAAGGAAAAAAAATGGCAGTCACATTCATTTCCAATTTTGCTTCTGAGTGACATGGTTTTCTCATTATTTGTCATTTTAAGAGTTTTAATCTCAAGCTTAAAGGTCTGGTTAACCAACATTTTTAGAGCATTTTATTTATTTATTTATTGGAGGTTTTTAGGCATTTAATTATATAATAAGAGATACCCCTCTTTCATTATATAATTATTACAATAATTTAAAATAATTAGAACTTTTCGTTAAGAAAACTAACATACAATCGACTAAACTAAATCTATTTGTGTGAACATGAGCGCTTCATCATCTACAATTAATCGATAGGAAGATGCAGTACTGTCTTAATTGGTATTCTTTTACCAAGTCATCACGCTTTTATGGCAATGGGACCAAAGCAATAATATTCTAAAACTCTATGATATTTCATAGTTTGGCAAAGCGCCTTAGCTAGCTACCTACCCCAAATATCAGAGAAAAGTCATTCGTAATTTTGGCGTAAAATGGCACCTAGCTAAGGATATTCCTTTTTTTTTGACAAACCTGGTCAATGCCACGAAAAGATAAGAAATGTTGTCGGTCACTTTACTGTAAGATATCTCTTATTTTCTTAGTCTAGGTCTACGTGGTAGAGATTGGTGAAGATATTTTGGGCTTTATAAAAGTTATAGCTTGGACTTTTAGGCAGATAAGTATTGAAGAAATGTATCCTAACCCTTGATGCCATTAATACGATAATAGCATATCTATTGAAAGAGATATTTTTTTATTCATTAGAGGTCATCGGACTTTGGACGACAGCTCCTTCGTTACATAATTATTAAAAAAAATTAAAATTTAAAAAATTTAAAAATTTTTATTTTATTTAAAAAAATAATTGTATATATAATCATTAAATTAACTTGATTGCATTGAAGAAGATATTTTAGCAATTGAAATCGAGTATTTTTGCATGGTTTCAAATTCAATTCTTGAAGAAAGAAAGAAATTTATGTTAAAAAACTTATTTCACATTAAATAAATAAAATTAAAAATAAATCATTTACTACAAAAGTTAATTTTTTTTTTTGAAATAAAACTCAATCTCAACTACTATTTAATAATATCATAACTTCAAATTAATCTAACAATTAAAGTAAACTGATAATAGCCAAGCGATTAAACATTAATTCTTTATTTCACTTCCATTTTTATTACATATCAGCACATTAACAGGCAGGAACAAAACACAGACTAGTGTGTTTTATCCTTTTACGAGTAAAAAACAGAAGAAACAGAAGAAGATACACAAAGCAATGCATAGGGCTGGACCTCATAAAGTCATCAACTATGTCCATAGCCCCTTACTCTACGTTCTTGTTTCCAGGCATCTCCAAGGGGAAATGAGGAGACCCCCAAGGGCAGAAGACAACCTTGTAGTTAGTCCCACCAGGGCATGTAAATGTGCTTGAAGGATCATCTTGGGGATAACTATAAGAAGTAGGGCATCTATCCTTAAAAAACCTTGAAAAATTGGTAGGACCACAGCTCCCTTGCCCATTAGTGCAACAATATTGATTAGTCTTAAACACAGTACAAGGGTTATTACACCCACCAGGAGTCCTCAATTCATTAGGACATTGGCCATTGATGTCTGCTGCGCAAACAAGTGCTTGACACTTCCCTCCACCACCTGATGTTGGGCTAAACTCCATAGGGATATTGAAGCCATCAACAAGTGATATGTCATAGAAATCCAAGTTACCAAATTGGTTCAACGCATATTCAGCTAGAGTGTTAGGAGGGACACCCCAACCTTGGCACACTAGGCCACCGGTGCAATCCCCGGTTTGGCAACGACCCCTACCACTGCCATCAAAGTTACAATTTGTCCTGCCCCAAATACGAGCCATGGATGTGCCAGCAGGCACGTTAAGCCACCAAGTTTGGCCACGGTCTAGGCGGCGTCCACCACCAGGTGAGGCTGCAGCCCACACAGTGTACTGGCAATTGTTGCGGATTTCAAAGGTGGCTGCATTAGCAGAAATGAAGAGAAGGCCGAAGAGGAGGGAGGAGGTGAGAAGTTTGGTTGAGTAGCCCATGGTTTGAGTAGTTGACACTAGCTTGTGTTAATTAGTGCTTGAATTCATGGCGTAATTATGGTCTTTATATAGGGAAGGGGCGGCTTTTGGATTCCTATCCATTATGGGCAAAGCGTCCAGTTTCTTAAGTTAAAAGCAGAGGCGGCTACTGTACAGTTTCTTTAGTTAAAAGTAAAGGCTGCTGCGTGATTGCCTAGATAGAAGAATTTTTTTAACCCATCGGGTACCCGATATGAACTGGTGACGCTAACACATAGCATCAATTGAATGCTTGCCCGTCTTTACTCGTTTTGTATACCTACTTGCACATAGTGTGGTGAGTTTCATCATGTAGACTTTTTCTCAAATTCAATGAATATGAGCCTTAAAATGTTTCCTACACGGTATTTTATTTTATTTTTATAAAATCTAGTGGCCAAAGAAAGTTAATGGAATTATGCATGGAACATACCAATATATAAATTCCCACTTGTGAATATCAACACTCATCAAAATATCCAATTTTTTTTTTATTAAGATAGTAATATTATTTTCTCTATTCTAAAACAGTTCTTTATTATTTCGATAGCCATAACAGTGATTTGAAAGAGATCTCTCCAATAATTTTTAGTGCTCATTTCGGTCAATTCTCCATTATTATTATTTTGATTGAGTGGAACTCAATCATTTGCTGCTCTTACTCTTTAGGTTTTTTTTTTTTTTGAAGTCTATCATATAAAAGTATTTAAATTAAATCAGTTATCGATTTTTAAATTTGATCATAAATCTAATTGGTTATTTTTATTTACATAAATCAAAAGTTAAAACGCAATCAAATATAAGGCATTACCAAGTTATTGATAAGGATACCACACTGCCGTGTCTATCCTTAAAGCTTAAACCATATATATCCAGTAGTAGATCTCTTGTACAACATTTCACTTCATGTATATCCAATAATGTATCCCACTCTTGCTAGGAGATGTACTTAGATATATGTCTGCTACATAGTCTCTGCAAACTAGAGTTCTATTCAGGTCTGTCTCTGTAAAACATATAAATAAAGATCTTCAATAAACACCATGTATGCTTTTGATCATACACAATTCTTTCATGATATCAAAGTTTTAAGAGGTTTAAAAACCCAGCCACCAAACATCTTAATCATACCAGCACGCACCACACTGTGCTCACCCAACAGCAGCCTGTGTACTCCTGCGTGCCAGCAACAGTGCCCCTGCGAGCTAGCAATAGTTCTCCTACGTGCCAGCCCGCCAACCCAGTAGGCCTACTGTGTGCTTGTCAGCCACCCCTACCAGTCCTTTTTTTTTACAACTCACTCATCCATAGCCGACTCTGATTCTCCCCAAACACCACCCACCCAAACCCTAATCACTCACCAACCATAACAGCCCCGACTTACAAACACCACCTACCCAAACATAACACCTCACTTGTCCATCAAACTGACCTCTGCAAACTATCTCCTATGGAAAACACAACTACTGCCATTATTAAGAGGATATAAGCTTGCACATCACATTGATGGAAGCCTTCCATCACCCACCATCATAGAGCCAAATTACCCCGAATGGTACACACAAGATCAGCTTGTTCTAAGCTGGATCATAAGCTCCCTCTCTGCCAATCTTGTCACGCAATTGGTAGGAGTTAACACTGCCGGTGAAGCCTGGAATAAACTTGCCACTGTCTACTGTTCAGGCTCCAAAACTCAAGTGCGTCAACTTCGCACCAACCTGATTGAATTATCACAAAGAAATGATGACATCCCCACCTACATGCAGCATGCTAAGGAAATTTCAAACCTCCTTGCAACATTGCAACATCCCATCTCAGAAGAAGACCTAGTGGATTATATTCTACGAGGTCTAGTTCCAGCATATCGCCCGTTTGTGCGTAACATAGAAGCAAGGCTCACACCAATATCCTATGATGATCTATTCTCCCTACTGCTGAGTGAAGAAGTGCAGATTGCACATCATGAAATCCATCAGAACAAGTGCTTCCAATAGCACAATTCTCTGCCCGAGGGTTCAATCCCTCACGAGGAAAAGGCCGCTATCATGACAGAAATAGAGGAACCAGCTTTGGCAGATCACAATCAACATATCCCACCATGGACAGAAACAGTAACACCTCAAATACATGCTCCAATTGCAAAGGATTTGGTCACAAAGCTAGCCAGTGCCCCTCCCCAAAACATCAACGTGATAGACGCAATCTTAACACCATCTCTCACAAACATGAATCTCATATTGCATCTAAACAATCCAGCCCTATGTCCCGACAAACATGGGTTGTTGACATTGGAGCTACGCATCATTTGACAGCTGTTATGGAAAATATGGGCATCCACTCTGAATACAACGGTCCCGAAGAAGTCACAATCAGTAATGGTAAAACTCTTCCAATCACTTGCACTGGTTCTACCACTTTTTTCCTCAATAATACATCATTCTCACTTGATAATATTCTTCTTGTTCCTCAAGCTTCTAACAATCTGCTTTCAGTTAGTGCCTTTACAAAATCTAACAATGTTTCTTTTGAATTTTTTCCTACTTATTTTTTGATAAAGGATATCCACACGAAGCAGATTTTACACACGGGGGAGCTTAATGATGGGCTCTATTCAATGCCAATTAGTCGATCTCTGAAAAACTCTCCACAAGTCTTTTTGAGCTCTCTGTCTACTTGGCATGCTCGCCTTGGCCATGCATCATTAAAAACAGTGCAAAAAGCCCTTAGTCAGTCTAGTATCCATGTGTCTACTCAAGATGTTCCATCTCTTTTCCATGCCTGTAGTGTTGGGAAAATTCATAAATTACCCTTCCCTGAGTCTTCTTTTCAAACGTCTGGTCCTTTAGATTTAATTTGCTCTGATTTGTGGGGCCCCTCTCCTATTTCTTCCCTTAATGGAAATTTTTATTATGTTCTATTTTATGATCACTTCAGCAAGTATTCATGGATCTACTTTATTAAATATAAATCTGAAGTTATCATCTGGTTTATCAAGTTTCAACATGTAGTTGAAAAATCATTTGACAGATCCATAAAGGCATTTCAATTCAACTGGGGAGGAGAATTTCAAAGCCTTACCAAATACTTGTCTGATAATGTCATCACCCACCGTAGTTCATGTCCCAAAACCCCTGAACAAAATGGGTGTGTTGAAAGAAAACATCGACACATCACTGAAACAGGATAAGCATTACTCCACCATACATCCCTTCCATCACAATTTTGGGAACACGCCTTTGCCACTGCTGTTTACTCCATCAACCGTCTACCCACACCACGCCTAGCACACAAAACACCTTTTGAGATCCTACTCCATCAGCCGCCAAATTATAACATGCTACGTGTATTTAGGTGTCTCTGCTATCCATGGTTACGTCCATACATCAGAAATAAGTTAGAACCTCGGTCTCGAAAATGTATTTTCCTTGGGTATAGTCAACTGTATAAAGGGTATAATTGTTTTGATCAAGTCACAAATAAGATATATGTCTCATGTCACGTTTTGTTTGATGAATAGGTTTTTCCAAATCAAGATGCCACACGTAACATACTGATGTCCTCAACAAACCATGATGTTGTCCTATTAAACCCATTGCTTGTACCCACCAATAGCACCCCATCAGACCTGAACACCCCACAGCCTTATAACTCATCAAGCCTACTAGACACACAACCAAGCACACCCTCTGGTATGTCTGACCAGCAGAAACGCCCAACAACAGGTTTGCCTAACCAAGCCTCACAACTAACCAACATCATAGCCCAAAATCCCACACTAAAACCCTATTCCCCTCCACCCATTCAGCTAGAAATTGACCTCTCTAGCTATCTTCCACCCTCCCAACCCCAAAACCAACAGCAGCCATCACACCCGATGCAAACACGTTTCAAGACAGGCCACTGTAAACCCAAAACATTCCACACCACCCATATCTCCACTGCCCCTACCTGTTATACCACTGCTGCGAAATACCAAATCTGGCATCAAGCAATGGATGAAGAGATGCAGGCTCTCCAATCCAATGGCATATGGACTTTGGTTCCTCGGTCTCAAGCATCAAATATTGTGGGAAATAGATGGGTATACAGAATTAAAAGGTTACAAGATGGATTTGTAGATCGGTATAAAACACGTTTTGTGGCCAAGGGGTTCCATCAGAGACCAGGAATTGACTACACCGACACCTTCAATCCCGTTGTTAAGCCAACAACTGTGAGACTGATACTATCCATTGCAGTCACAAATGGGTGGAATGTGCAGCAAATGAATGTCTCAAATGCATTCCTATATGGAGATCTAGAAGAGCCCGTATACATGGAGCAGCCGCAGGGATATGTTGATCCTAAATTTCCCCACCACGTCTGTTCTCTGAAGAAGTCACTGTATGGCCTCAAATAGGCACCTAGAGCCTGGTACCAATGTCTTACAACAGAACTTATCAATCTCGGCTTTCGGGGATTTCAATCAGACACTTCCTTGTTTATATACACAACAGGTCAAGACATCCTATATTGCCTTATATATGTGGATGATATCCTAATCACTGGCAGCAATGAGAAGCACATTAACCATATCAAACAGAAACTGCATCTCAAATTTGCTGTTAATGACCTAGGCAAAGCTTGATTATTTTTTAGGAATTGAAGCTCATTGGAGAAAAAAGGGACTGATCTTAACACAATCCAAATATATCAGAGACATCCAATAAAAGGAAAATATACATGAGGCTAGTTCCATTTCAACTCCAACATGTGCATCAGTCAAGTTGCTGAATGCAACGACACAATTTGACAATCCCACCTTATTCTGTAGCATTGTAGGAGGACTTCAATATCTGACCTTAACACGCCCTGATATCTCTTTTGCAGTAAACAAAGTTGCCCAATTTATGCACAGTCCAACCACTGAGCACTAGTTTGCAGTGAAGAGAATTCTTCGTTATCTTGGATCCACACTTAATCATGGTCTACACATTCGACCGGCCACTTCTCTGCAAATTAATACATTCACTGATGCAGACTGGGGTGGTGATGCGGATGATTGGAAGAGCACAACTGGCTATGCTATTTATTTGGGTAATAATCTGGTTTCCTGGTGCAGCAAAAAGCAACGTACCGTTGCACGATCATCCATAGACGCAGAATATCGTGCACTTGCAACCACAACTTCAGAGGTCACTTGGATACAATCACTCTTGAAAGAGATAGGAATTACAATTCCTATGGCTCCTGTCATTTGGCGTGACAACATCTCAGCCACTTATCTTGCTGCAAATCCTGTGTTTCATGCTCGATCCAACACTTGGAAATTGACTTTCACTTCGTCAAAGACAAGGTGAAGAAGAAGGAACTGATAGTAACCTTCATCTCAACCAAATACCAAATCGCAAATGTTCTAACCAAAGCTTTATCCAAACGGCAATACCTACTCTTACGGGACAAGCTGACTTTGCGCACCACTGCTCAGCTTGAGGGAGGATGATAAGGATACCACACTGCCTTATCTATCCTTAAAGCTTAAACCGTATACATCTAGTAGTAGATCTCTTGTACAACATTTCACTTCATGTATATCCAATAATGTATCCCACTCTTGCTAGGAGATGTACTTAGATATATGTCTGCTACATAGTCTCTGCAAACTAGAGTTCTATTCAGGTCTGTCTCTGTAAAACATATAAATAGAGATCTTCAATAAACACCATGTATGCTTTTGATCATACACAATTCTTTCAGTTATCAGTATTTTTAAAGTTTTTATTACTATGATTTAATGATGTACTTCTCCAATTTTGAAATTTAAATTGAATCAATAATCGATTTATAGGTTCAGTCATAAATCTAATTAGTTATTTTTAATTACGTAAATCAATAGTTCAAACCATATTCAAATATAGGGCATTACATTGTGATAAGTATTTTTAAAGTTTTATTACTATGATTTAACGACCTACTTCTTCAATTTTGAAATTTTCATTTTGTTGCCATTATTATACATATACATAAGGAAACGATGGATGGAGAGAAGACAACAAAGATAAGTACACCATAAACTTATGCCTTAATAATAGTCTCAGTTCATTCGATAATCTATCGCTATTTAATGATATATTTCAAACCGTCGTTGATTTCTATGAGTATTTCACAGCTTTTTTTGTAGTGATAAATGCTAATCCTTAAAGACAAATCTATTTGACTGCAAAAATTAGTCATGCACTCAATTCTTGTGTTTTCAAATTTTCAACTGGACTATTAATTTACAACTACAATATTGACTTGGTAAACTAGAGAACCTCCCATCCTCTAAGGTCATGGGTTTTGACACTTCCCCTACAAAATATGATTTATTTTAATTATAACCTTACGCTTTTGATTTAATTTGTTTTCAGTTTCATCCCTCTCCATCTTTGTCCCTCTTCATTATTTTTTCATACTTTGTGCTCTATATGTGGCATAATATAATTTATTAAGCATGTTCGAATGATGATGATTTCTCAACTTATGCAACACCTCCGATCCCTTAATTGGTTTTCTGAAAATTCTCAATTACTTCATAAATAATCATGAGAAAGAGCAATAATAATAATAATAATTGTAAAAAAAAATTAAGTTTACGTGAAAATATTCTTATTATTTTTATTAGATTCAAATATAATTTTACGTAAATAATCGGTCTATTTTCTGTAGATATCAGATTACAACAAACTCAATAACATGAAGTAAACAGAATATATCATGCTATGAATTCTACGTTGGCTTATTCATCCAGTAACATAACATGGGCTTATGGGCACACTACTACTAGGTGTGCACAGATTATTTGGCCTGACATGGTGGTATTATACTTTTACTACGTACACGTCTTCCCTTCTTCAAGAAATGAAGAAGTTCATGGACAAAATGTAACCCTGTAGTTGGTACCTGCAGGGCAAGTGAAAGTGCTGGTTTGATCATCTTGTGGATAGCTATAAGCATCGGGGCACCTGTCTTTGAAGAACTTGGATAAATCAGTTGCACTACAACTTCCAGGTCCATCAATGCAACAATATTCATTGGTCTTAAAAACCGTACACTGGTTGTTGCAGCCACCAGTAGTCCGCAACTGAGTAGGGCACTCACCGTTGATATTGGCGGCACACCGGATTCCTCGGCAGGCACTGGAGGTTGGACTGAAGTCCAGTGGGATGTTGAACCCATCAACAAAAGAGATATCGAGAAAGTCTAAGTTGTTGGGCTGGGTTAATGCAAATTCGGCTAAGGTATTTGGTGGAGAGCCGTAGCCTTGGCATTCTAGCCTTCGGTTACAATCACCTGTTTCACATTGGCCCTGACCATTGGCATCAAAGTTACAATTGGTTCGGCCCCAAATGCGAGCCATGGTGGTGCCAGGTGCGACATTGAGGTTCCATGTTTGGCCAGGGTCCAAACATCGGCCTCCACCGGGTGACGCTGCAGCCCAGACAGTGTAGGTGCATTGGTTTACAACATCAAAGGTGGCTGCATTAGTTATGGTGAATAGCAGGCCAAGGGAAAGGAGAATTGGGAAGGGGGTTGATGCTACTCATTTTGGTTCAAACAAAGCCGTACGAGCACTTCTGTATTGGCTTGTATTTCTGTGTTCATAATGCTCATTACTTGAGGTATTTATAGATGGAGCTGAATCCTCAATTTCTTTAGCCATGTAGAAGGGGAATTCTAGCAGAACGAAATTAATGGAGGGAAGAAGAAGAAGAAATGCACTGAGAATTAACTTGAAGACATCAAATTGGACGGCGCTCTAGAAGACTACGATAGTCTGCCTAGCTCATGCAACTGCAAGAAAACTGGGCATTGGTCATTTTCGTTCTAGAGCTTGATAGGAGCAAACATTGAAGAAGAAGCATCATACGCATCCATACCAATAAGTCTCGGATGAGTCATCCATTGAAAATAAGACAGGTGTCATGCAATAGTCAGTGTTTATACAGATATACATGTATTTGTATAAATTCAAATGTCTCTATAATGAAATATATAAAGATATTTTCATTAAAAAACCAAAAAAGAAAGAAAGAACGGATAACGAGTTACTATTAATTAATATAATGTTTCTTTGTTTATTAGGAGGCTCAATGGACATGCATTGAGCTGCAAAATTGATAGGACTCCTTCATTTGAGACTCTAACCCACTCTTCCCATAATTTGAACTTAAAGCTTTTGCATAATTGCCTATAAAAATTGCTAATTAATTAAATCGAAACACCAATTCCGTTTAAAAGATCGAAATTGAATTAGTTTTGGCTATTCAATTTCGGCTTAGTTTTTAAAATTTTTAAGTTAATTTTTACTGAAAACAAACTTTTGATTGTTATTTGAATTTTGATGGTTCAATTTACAATATATTAGAACGATTAACAATTTTTTATCATCACATATTTTAGATGGACTTATATTTAAATTTATTGCCTTATCATGTGATATAATTTTGTGATTTAATCCTATTTAAATAAATATTTATTACATTTTATATGGACTAATTTAGACTATTTGGACTATAAAAAAACTCTATAGTACATAACACAATTTTTTTTTTTTTACGTTATAACATTATATTAAAAAATTAAAAAAAGATCATAAAAAAAATTTTTTACCAAAAAACCAAAATTTCAGTTTAATAAACCAAATAGAAATTCGGTTAAGGCTTTTGGTGAGTTACGTTAACCAAAAATCAAACCGAAAAACTAAATGCTCAAGCCAAGGTGCAATAGAGTACAGCAATGGATAGGTTCAACTGGATTTGTCTAGCTATGAAAATTGAAGCCTACTAAGAGACTCGCTTTGCTGGTTCGTAAGCATTTGTGCTACAAGAGAGAATTAAGAACAGGACAACAATTACACTCAACAACAAAATTATTAAAGGACCAACTCACCTAAAAGCTTAAGTCGATAGGTGAGACCTTAGAATATAATTTATACTAGTCTCTAATACACCCTCTCAAGTGAAAGGCTCAACATTTGGGGCATGAAACTTGCACAGTCTACATTGCCTTGTGCTTAATACTTTGAGAGATTAGGGATGGTGAGACTTGAACTCGGGACCTCAAGGTCAACTAAGCTCCGATACCATATTAAAAGACCAACTCACCTAAAAGCTTAAGCTGATAGGTGAGGCCCAAGAATATAATTTATACTAGTCTCTAACATACAGCAATGGATAGGTTCAACTGGATTTGTCTAGCTATGAAAATTAAAGCCTGCTAAGAGACTGCTTTGCTGGTTCGTAAGCATTTGTGCTACAAGAGAGAATTAAGAACAGGACAACAATTACACTCAACAGCAAAATTATTTTTCTAACATTTTCATTTTTCGTAATTCATTACACAAACCATTTGGTGTCTGAGAGGTCAACAAAACATCTATATTGTATCCTACAGAATTACAAAGAATCAGCCAGCTCAACACTGCCCGGTTTGTATACTGCCGCCACCGCTTTTCAACATCTCTTGCACAAGTGCACCACTTTCGTTTTATGCCCACCTTCTGCAATGAACGACTCATACAACACTGAATGTCGACTGTATGGTAGATGAGACTCGAGAGGCAATGGTCTGGGATACGGACTGCTGGAACTGCTTCTTAGCATCTAAAAGAAAGAAGAATAACTCAAGATGGAGACTAGAGTCAATTATGCATATTTAAGATGAAAAAAAAAAAGAAAGCCAGTCACATTCATTCCAATTTTGCTTCTGAGTGACATGGATTTTCTCAGTATTTGTCATTTTAAGGGTTTTAATCTGAAGTTTAAAGGTCTGACCAACGAACATTTTTAGCGCACTTTTTATTTATTTATTAGAGGTTTTTAGGGATTTGAATTATATAATGAGAGGTTACACTCTTCTATTAAATAATTATTAAATTTTTTTAAAGTAATTAGAACTCAAACCTTGTTTCATTGAGAAAACTACCTATACAATCCACTAAACTAAATCTGTTTGTGTGAGCACGAACGCTTTATCATCTACTATTAATTGATAGGAAGATGGAGTACTATCTTAATTAGTATTCTTTTACCAAGTCATCATGCTTTTATGGCAATGAACCAAAGTAATAATATTCTAAAACTTTATGATATTTCATAGTTTGGTAAAGAGCCTTAGCTAGCTACTTGCCTTAAATATCATAGAAAAGTCATTCATAATCACGAAAAAATTGGAATTTGAATAAAATTTATCAAAACACTGATATGTAACACTCATCAATTGATACATCTCATTTGAAGGGTCACAATTGAACGGATCAATACTAAAATCTATATCCTTTTAGTTTTTTTAAAATTAAGTTTCTAATTTAATCTTATTTATCTTTAAATATGTCAATTTAAAATATGTCATTAATGTTAGCACCCAATTTTTGCTCCTCTTTTATTTATTTTTCATTTATTATTTTAAAAAATAAAATACAAAAAAAAGAAAAACGAAATGAAAATGCAAAATACAAAAAATAGAAAAAGAAAAAAAAATTAGAATAGTTTAGTTTAGATTAATTCTAAGGAGGGGGTTAACCGAGAAAAATCAAGAGTGAAAAATAATTAAAAAGACAATTGGGAGCTTAATTAAAGAATTCAAAGCTTCAATTCCTTTTTCAAAAATTAAAAAGGATACAATTGGAACCAATTAAAATAAAAAGTCCCAATTATTGGCAATGGGAGGCTTAAATTAAAATATATATATAAAAAAAACAAATTGAACCTTAGTAAATGCATGGAGAAAAATTAAGGACCGAATTGGATTTTTGCCAAAAACCAAGCTTTTCTTGGTATAAAGCTACTGTTCATTGTCACCCTAAAAAAGGGAGGAACTAGCCGCCGGACACCGAAAAAGAAAAAGCTTTCTCCCACGCAAAGCACAAACGCCACCACACCCGCTCTCTCCTTCGGCCAAGCTACTATTCATCATCAACTTGAAGGGAAGAAAGAGAACACATTCAGTCGCCACATACACACACAAAGACCAAGTTCTCACCCATTTCCCTCTCTTTCGCCCAAACCTCCACAACCCCTCTCATCGAAATCTTGACATTATAGCCCCACCATCTCCTCCTCTCAAGCTCCACTTAACTCTCCTCACTCCCCCATAACCTCCACAACAGCCCTCAGCACCAGTCGCCTCTCTCTACACCTCACAAACCCATACAAACCGACTTCGATGGCCACCCACACAAGCTGACCTCTAAGCCTCCATCCTTCACACCCCGTTTCGTATTTTGACTATAACTTGGGCTACAAACATCCCAATTATGTGATATTGGGCTCTTTGAAAAGAAAACAGACTGAGCTAAAACTATTGTGGAGAGTTAAAAGTCTAATTCGGAAGATTTGAAAGTCAAAATGGGGCTACAAGTTAGAAGTCGGAATCCATCCAGCAAGTTTTTTGGTATCGGGACTCGTTCGGTTCGTAGTTCATATCTTGGGTTATAGGAGTCCAATTGATAAAAGGCTAGTTGCGTTGGAAAGATGAAATCTGGACCTATAATTCTTATGAGACACTAGTTCAAGATTAGGTCATTTTAATGGTCAAAATTATGATCTAATAGGCTTAAAGAAATTTCTCATAAAGGACGAAAATTCTAGATAGCTCCCAAGAACACTTCTAAAAACCCTCACTCCAACCTCCTTCAAAGCCCTAAAACTAGCCCTTAAAAAAGCTACAAACCAGAAATAAAACCCCCCAAAATTAGCCTTAAAACCAGCCCCAAAACAGACCTGAAAAACCCACCAAAACCCCTCCAAAATCAACCCCGCAACCATTATCAATAGTCCCAAAAAAACCTTACAGAAAACCCCCTTTGAACAGCCCCCTTAAACCACCAAAAAAGCCACTAAAACATCCCCAAGACAGATTTAATATTTCCCCAAAACACCCCCAAAAAAGTCCCAAAAAGGCCCAAAAACCGAGACCCCAAAACGGCCACCAACGACGACCTTACAGAGCAACCCCTTATGGCAGCCCATTTAAACCATCAAAGAATCCAAAAAAAACACCCTTAAACAAGCTTTAAGATAGCCCCAAGAAACCCCCAAAACACGTCCCCAAGCTTCCAAAAAACTAAACCCAAAACAGCCATCAAGAGCAGCCTTTACAACCCTGAACAGCCCCCAACAGCCCCCAAAGACACTTGCAGAGAAGCCCTTTTGGACAGCCCATTTAAGTCACCAAAGTAGCCACTAAAACACATCCAAGCCAGCTTCAAAACCATCCAAAAAACCTCCCAAAAAACCCACCAAAAAAGCCGTAAAACCTTCCTCAAAACAGCCCTTTGGACACTTTTTTTTTTTTTTTGGAGTTACCGAAAAAAGGAGAAATAAAAAGTATAATAAAAAAAAAGGCTAAAAAGATTTTCTTTTGTTGGATTGTTGGCAGCCACAACATGATGTTGTAGGTTGCATTGGTTGATTCTTTTTTATAGGATAATAAGCAACAAGAGCTACCTTGGGCTTTCGAGAACTCTTTAAATTTTACGAGTAACTTTGGAGTATTCACCCAAGTAACGGAGGGGTTTTTGATCACTTTAGCGACATTCACACCCCACATTCTTAACCAGCAGTTACCCTCCTTTTCTGGCTAATCAAATGTTTGATTATCATTGGGAACAAAGAGGGTAGGATTGACTATGAATCTAACGTCGACACTTCATAACGTTTTGGATAAAAATCTTAAAACATGACATTTCGAAAGCATGATAAATGTTTGAAAGTGTTGGATTGTTGGCAGCCACAACATGATGTTGTAGGTTGCATTTGATTGATTCTTTTTTACAGGATAATAAGCACCAAGAGCTACCTTGGGCTTTCGAGAACTCGTAAATTTTGCAACAACTTTGGAGTATTCACCTAAGTAACGGAGGGGTTTTTGATCACTTTAGCGAAATTCACACCCCACATTCTCAACCAATAGTTACTCTCCTTTTTTGACCAATCGAATATTCGATTATCATCGGGAACGAAGAGGGTAGGATCGACTCGAATCTAACGTCAACACTTTAGAACTTTTTGGGTAAAAATCTTAAAACATGACATTTCGAAAGAATGATAAATGTTTGAAAAAGACTATGTGCTTTGGAATGTGGTTAAAATTGTGACAATTGGTATAACATTTATGAAATAAATGTGGTCAAAATGAAATATTACTACAAAGATCATTAAGGAATAGTATGCCATATTTTTCTTTTATTATCCCCTGTCCGTCCAAATATGAAATTTGTCTTAATTTTTGTGCTTCAATTGACTTTTCATGATTTTTTATAATTCTACAATAGAGCCGTCGATGGTTTCAAAATCATTTTTCCCGGTGTTTAATCCCCTTTTTTTATTTTTTTTATTTTTTTTATTTCTGTTTTTTTATGTTTTATTGCCTATTTCATCAAAATGAAGTTGTCGGTGTCGGTGGCTTCCCACTCATCAAAATAATTTTTTTCCATTTAATGCCTCGTTTGTTTGAGATGAAGTCGTTAGTGGCTTTCCACTTATGTGAAGAAGCCGCCGGTTGCTTCTAAATAGTTATCGGCTCCTTACCGGAGCGACATGAATTTGTCAATGACTTTTCACTTCGTGACGAAGTTATGATAGCTTCTTAAACGAGTAACTCGAAGTCATCGGTGTCTTCCCACTTATGTGAGCGAAGTCGTTGGTGACTCGGCATCTTATGCCAATAAAAGACTATTTATCTTTAGAAACTTGCTTATTGTTAATAATAGGTCGTGTTCACTAATGATTAGTCAATATTCTAATTTTTCACTTTTTTCCCACTTCTTACTCAATTATATTGTCTCTCTATTTTTTATTTTTTATTTTTGAAGTATAAGGTTATGGAGTGGCTTTCTTAAATAAGGAGAATGACACCCTATATATAGGCATGTGGTGCCAAAACATTTGGTGATTTTTAATGCATGAATTAAAAATAAAAAAAAGACCACTAACTTTCTTCTTTTATGGCCACTAAGTGGCTTTTTTTCATGGCCACTAAACTTCTTCTTTGATGGCCACTAAGTAGCTTTCTTTCAAAGCGACTTTGTTTTCTTTCATGGCCATTCATGTCTCTTCTTTAATTTAATATTTTGTTTCAAAATTTTTGCTCTCCTTTCATAGCCACTAACATTCCATTTTAAAAAACTATTAAAAATTATTATTATTTCATAATAATAATAATTGTTATTATTATTATTACTATTTTAACTCTTTAATTTCTAATAACTTAAGCTAAGATTGTTGGACTCGTTTCAATTTATAAAAATACAATCTATGATACTCAAAAATATATATTATATACTAAAACTCCTTATCTGATCATCACATCCTTTAAACACATCAAAATATTAAATTAAGTACATAAATAAAGCACATTTGTACACATATATGCATAATATATTATCATCAAAAGGTTCAAATTATACAAATTGATAATAAAAGCTTAAAATTTCCAAATTACAATAAAACAGGAGTAATTTTTGCCATTAAACCAAGGCAAAACAAAGGGAAACAAAGACTTAGTAAAATATTGAGAGGGTTTCAAGGAAGCTCATTTTTGGACTTTGAGTTAAGCAAATCATGCCAAGGATTTTGAAAAAAAAACAAAAGAAGCAATTATTGCAAAACTTAAAAGCACGTAAGAAATATTTCTTTAATGTGATCTATTTGTTTTATATTAATTTGTAAATTAATATTATATGGTATCATATACTAATGGTAATAGACAAACATCCAACTAATTTAGCCAATTTTATATTCTAATTATTTTTTTTAAATCACTCTTCACCAAGAGAGTTGACTTGAGCGGAAAAAACTTTATTTGTTTAAATAAGTGGTCTCGGTGTCAAGTATTTGTGTACTTAAAAATTTTCTTGAGTAGTTGTGCTCGTCTTATTCGTCCGACCGAATAACAAAAGATTAGTTTAGACTTTTAAATATTGGATATCCCGAGATCTAAAAAAAAAAAAACAATCACTCTTCCCAATTCCACTGATACCCATTTACTAGTATTATTGTTTTTAGAATTTATAAAAAATATTAAAATTAGAAATCCAACTAAAATTGAAAAACTCAGAAATACCATTAAATAATGGGAGTCAAACTACTCCTAGAAAAATACCTTAGCTAATTAATAGCATATACCATAATGCATAGACTTTTTTATTTTACCTCTAGGATGAAAGTGAGAGCAACTCTAATCATGACCTAGTCTCTAAGCATTTACTGATACTTTTCAAGAACTTTAATTATCTTGTGCTGGTGTTAATAAATGCAAGCGTAATATTTCTTGAGCTATTTACATATAGTTTAGTGGTGACAAATTAATCATATTAGCTTATTGAAATCAAAAGATGGAGACTAGAGTCATGTATGGATGAGAGCAAGGAAAAAAAAATGGCAGTCACATTCATTTCCAATTTTGCTTCTGAGTGACATGGGTTTTCTCATTATTTGTCATTTTAAGAGTTTTAATCTCAAGCTTAAAGGTCTGGCTAACCAACATTTTTAGAGCATTTTATTTATTTATTTATTGGAGGTTTTTAGGCATTTAAATTATATAATAAGAGATACCCCTCTTTCATTATATAATTATTAAAATAATTTAAAATAATTAGAACTTTTCGTTAAGAAAACTAACATACAATTGACTAAACTAAATCTATTTGTGTGAACACGAGCACTTTATCATCTACAATTAATCGATAGGAAGATGCAGTACTATCTTAATTGGTATTCTTTTACCAAGTCATCACGCTTTTATATATGGCAAAGGGACCAAAGGAATAATATTCTAAAACTCTATGATATTTCATAGTTTGGCAAAGAGCCTTAGCTAGCTACCTACCCCAAATATCAGAGAAAAGTCATTCGTAATTTTGGCGTAAAATGGCACCTAGCTAAGGATATTCCTTTTTTTTTTTTTTTGACAAACCTAGTCAATGCCACGAAAAGATAAGAAATGTTGTCGTTCACTTTACTGTAAGATATCTCTTATTTTCTTAGTCTAGGTCTATGTGGTAGAGAGTGGTGAAGATATTTTGGGCTTTATAAAAGTCATAGCTTGGACTTTTAGGCAGATAAGTATTGAAGAAATCTATCCTAACCCTTGATGCCATTAATACGATAATAGCATATCTATTGAAAGAGATTTTTTTTTTTATTATTCATTAGAGGTCATCGGACTTTGGATGACAACTCCTTCGTTACATAATTATTAAAAAAATTAAAATTATTAAAACTCAAAAAAATTTATTTTATTCAAAAAAAAAAAATTGGATATATAATCATTGGATTAACTTGATTGTATTGAAGAAGATATTTTAGCAATTGAAATCGAGTATTTTTGCATGGTTTCAAATTCAATTCTTGGAGAAAGAAAGAAATTCATGTTAAAAAACTTATTTCACATTAAATAAATAAAGTTAAAAATAAATTATTTACTATAAAAATTAATTTTTTTGAAATAAAATTCAATCTCAACTCTTATTTAATAATATCAGAACTTCAAATTAATCTAACAATTTATTAAAAATCTTAAAGTTTATTGATAAATTTTAAAAGATAAACTGTAAGTAAAATAACTAAATAAATAATCTATCACAAATCAAATAAATAAAAATATAAATTTAATAAATAATATATCAAATTAAGAATGAATTATTTATCAAACAACTTAAATCTTTTAAAAATAATATAATCTCTAGTATCTAAGTTAATTGATTAAGTCATTACAGCACTCAATATCAATATTTTTCATTAAAAATAAAAATAAAAACTACAAACGCCCTCTAGTCAATCATGGAAGTTTCATCACGACATGGAATATTATTTGTCTTTTTCATTCCTTCCCCGCAGCATCTGCCATATAATAGGTGGCAACTCGATCATCAAATTAAAGTAAACTGATAATACCCAAGCGATTAAACATTAATTCTTTATTTCACTTCCCATTTTTATTACATATCAGCAAGCCACAGGCAGGAACAAAACACAGACTAGTGTGTTTTATCCTTTTACGAGTAAAAAAAGAAGAAACACAAGAAGATGCACAAAGCAATGCATAGGGCATGGACCTCATGAAGTTATCAACCATGTCCTTAGCCCCTTACTCTACGTTCTTGTTTCCAGGCATCTCCAAGCGGAAATGAGGAGACCCCCTAGGGCAGAAGACAACCTTGTAGTTAGTCCCACCAGGGCATGTAAATGTGCTTGAAGGATCATCTTGGGGATAACTATAAGAAGTAGGGCATCTATCCTTAAAAAACCTTGAAAAATTGGTAGGACCACAGCTCCCTTGCCCATTAGTGCAACAATATTGATTAGTCTTAAACACAGCACAAGGGTTATTACACCCACCAGGAGTCCTCAATTCATTTGGACATTGGCCATTGATGTCTGCTGCGCAAACAAGTGCTTGACACTTCCCTCCACCACTTGATGTTGGGCTAAACTCCATAGGGATATTGAAGCCATCAACAAGTGATATGTCATAGAAATCCAAGTTACCAAATTGGTTCAACGCATATTCAGCTAGAGTGTTAGGGGGACACCCCAACCTTGGCACACTAGGCCACCGGTGCAATCCCCAGTTTGGCAACGACCCCTACCACTACCATCAAAGTTACAATTTGTCCTGCCCCAAATACGAGCCATGGATGTGCCAGCAGGCACGTTAAGCCACCAAGTTTGGCCACGGTCTAGGCGGCGTCCACCACCAGGTGAGGCTGCAGCCCACACAGTATACTGGCAATTGTTGCGGATTTCAAAGGTGGATGCATTAGCAGAAATGAAGAGAAGGCCAAAGAGGAGGGAGGAGGTGAGAAGTTTGGTTGAGTAGCCCATGGTTTGAGTAGTTGACACTAGCTTGTGTTAATTGGTGCTTGAATTCATGGCGTAATTATGGTCTTTATACAAGGAAGGGGCGGCTTTTGGATTCCTATCATTAGAGTATCGTTTATGCTTTATTTATATTAAGATTTTTTTTTATAATAAAAAAATTTTATTTAAATTTTATTTTCAATGCTCTCTTTAATATAATTTTTATTTTTAAAATTGATATAGAGAGTGTCTTTAGCTCTCCAAGTATTAAAAAGTTCAAATAACTCTTTATTTTATATTTTATTAATAAAAATTAATTATTATTTTCTATACTATTCAATTTCTGAATCAATAGTTTTTTTGAATTTTATAAATTTTATCAAAATAAAGAGTTAAGAAAAGAGTAACATTAAAGAAGATATTGATCTTCAATTTATATAATTAATAATATTTTTTATTTATATTAAAAATATTAAATCAAAGTAAAAATCACAATTGAAGATGCCGTTATGGGCAAAGCGCCCAGTTTTTTTTTAGTTAAAAGTAGAGGCGGCTACTGTACAGTTTCTTTAGTTAAAAGTAAAGGCTGCTGCGTGATTGCCTGCCCAGATAGAAGAATTTTTTTTAACCCATCGGGTACCTGATATGGCCCGACCCGGGTTTTTTTAAAAAAAATCATTTTTCATAAAAATAAAATCTAAGCTTAAAAACGAATGATATCCCTATCCATAAACTATGAAACTGTGTAGTGAAGTTTAAATTTTAAATTTAGAATAAAATCATGAAAGTTCTCTGTGAATTATAAGATAAAAATTCATATATTATATTAAAGATAAAATCACAACTTCAAAAGAAAAAAATTAAAAAATCAGCTTAGAGCGGGTCGGGTGACGAAGCGAGTGAAACCCTCACCTGCCTCTGCATCCAGCTCTAATCAAATCAGATTGAATTTTATTTGTTTTATATCTGACTCCGATCAAAGTAGATAAAATTTCAATCCAATCGGATCAGATGATATCGGATAATCAACAAATCGATTAGAATTTTCTAATAGCTTGCTACATATTCTATGCATACTAGAAAATCAGTAATGAAGATAAAGTTAAAATCTTTGAAAGATTGGAAATTAAGCATGCTTCATGGGAAGATTTCCGACAAATTGCCATTTTTTAATGAACTGTTGACGCTAACACATAGCATCAATTGCCCGTCTTTACTCCTTTTGTATACCTACTTGCACATATATAGTGTGGTGAGTTTCATCATGTAGACTTTTTCTCAAATTCAATGAATATGAGCCTTAAAATGTTTCCTACACGGTATTTTATTTTATTTTATTTTTATAAAATCAAGTGGCCAAAGAAAGTTAATGGAATCATGCATGGAACATACCAATATATAAATTCCCACTTGTGAATATCAACACTCATCAAAATATTCAAATTTTTTTATTATTAAGATAGTAATATTATTTTCTCTATTCTAAAACTGTTCTTTATTATTTTGATAGCCATAACAGTGATTTGAAAGCGATCTCTCCAATAATTTTTAGTCCTCATTTTGGTTATTTTTAATTACATAAATCAAAAGTTAAAACGCAATCAAATATAAGGCATTACCTTGTTATCAGTATTTTTAAAGTTTTTATTACTATTATTTAATGATCTACTTCTCTAATTTTGAAATTTAAATTAAATCAGTTATCGATTTTTAGGTTTCGTCATAAATCTAATTAGTTATTTTTAATTACGTAAATCAATAGTTCAAACTGTATTCAAATATAGGGCATTACGTTGTGATAAGTATTTTTAAAGCTTTTATTACTATGGTTTAATGATCTACTTCTTCAATTTTGAAATTTTTATTTTGTTGCCACTATTATATATATATATATATATATATGAGGAAATGATGGATGGAGAGAAGACAACAAAGGTATGTACATCGTAAACTTACATCTTAATAATAATCGCAGTTCATTCGATAATCTATTGCTATTTAACGATATATTTCAATCCATTGTTGATTTCTATGACTATTTCATAGCTTTTTTTAAGTGATAAATGTTAATCCTTAAAAATAAATCTATTTGACTGCAAAAATTAGTCATGCACTCAATTCTTGTGTTTTCAAATTTTCAACTGGACTATTAATTTACAACTACAATATTGACTTGGTAAACTAGAGAACCTCCCATTCTCTAAGGTCATGGGTTTGACACTTCCCCTACAAAATATGATTTATTTTAATTATAACCCTTCGTTTTCAATTTAATTTGTTTTGAGTTTCATCCCTCTCCATCTTTGTCCCTCTTCATTATTTTTTCATACTTTGTGCTCTATATATGGTATAATATAATTTATTAAGCATGTTCGAATGATGATGATTTCTCAACTTATGCAACACATCCCTTAATTAGTTTTCTGAAAATTCTCTATTACTTCATAAATAATCATGAGAAAGAGCAATAATAATAACAATAATCGTAAAAAAATAAAAAATAAAATTGAGTTTACATGAAAATATTCTTATTATTTTTATTAGATTCAGATAAAATTTTTCGTAAATAATCGGTCTACTTTCTGTAGATATCAGATTACAACAAACTCAATAACATGAAGTAAACAGAATATATCATGCTATGAGTTCTACGTTGGCTTATTCATACAGTAACATAACATGGGCTTATGCGCACACTACTAGGTGTGTACAGATTATTTGGCCTGACATGGTGGTATTATACTTTTACTACGTACACGTCTTCCCTTCTTCAAGAAATGATGAAGTTCATGGACAAAATGTAACCCTGTAGTTGGTACCTGCAGGGCAAGTGAAAGTGCTGGTTGGATCATCTTGTGGATAGCTATAAGCATCGGGGCACCTTTGTTTGAAGAACCTGGAGAAATCAGTTGCATTACAACTTCCAGGTCCATCAGTGCAACAATATTCATTGGTCTTAAAAACCGTACACGGGTTGTTGCAGCCACCAGTAGTCCGCAACTCAGTAGGGCACTCACCGTTGATATTGGCGGCACACCGGATTCCTCGGCAGGCACTGGAGGTTGGACTGAAGTCCAGTGGGATGTTGAACCCATCAACAAGAGAGATATCGAGAAAGTCTAAGTTGTTGGGTTGGTTTAATGCAAATTCGGCTAAGGTATTTGGTGGAGAGCCGTAGCCTTGGCATTCCAGCCTTCGGTTGCAATCACCTGTTTCACATTGGCCCTGACCATTGGCATCAAAGTTACAATTAGTTCGGCCCCAAATGCGAGCCATGGTGGTGCCAGGTGCGACATTGAGGTTCCATGTTTGGCCAGGGTCCAAACGTCGGCCTCCACCGGGTGAAGCTGCAGCCCAGACAGTGTAGGTGCATTGGTTTACAACATCAAAGGTGGCTGCATTAGTTATGGTGAATAGCAGGCCAAGGGAAAGGAGAATTGGAAGGGGGTTGATGCTGCTCATTTTGGTTATAACAAAGCCGTACGAGCACTTCTGTATTGGCTTGTATTTCTGTGTTCATAGTGCTCATTGCTTGAGGTATTTATAGATGGAGCTGAATCCTTAATTTCTTTAGCCGTGTAGAAGTGGAATTCTAGCAGAACGAAATTAACGGAGGGTAGAAGAAGAAGAAATGCACTGAGAATTGACTTGAAGACATCAAATTAGACAGCGCTCTAGAAGACTCTTCCAAACAATAACGAAATTGAAGGCTGCGTAAACATTTTTTTAACAGGCGGGACTTTGAATTGAGGCCTACGATAGTCTCCCTAGCACATGCAATTGCAACAAAATTGGGCATTGGTCATTTTCGTTCTAGAGCTTGATAGGAGCAAACATTGAAGAAGAAGCACCATACGCATCCATACTGATAAGTCTCGGATGAGTCGTCCATTGAAAATAAGACAGGTGTCATGCAATAGTCAGTGTTTATACAGATATGTATGTATTTGTATAAATTCAAATGTCTTTATAATAAAATATATAAAGATATTTTCATTAAGAAACAAAAAAAAAAAAAAAAAAGAACCGAAAACGAGTTACTATTAATTAGTATAATGTTTCTTTGTTTATTAGGAGGCTCAATGGACATGCATTGAGCTGCAAAATTGATAGGACTCCTTCATTTCAAACTCTAATTAACCCACTCTTCCCATAATTTGAACTTAAAGCTTTTGTATAATTGCCTATAAAAATAGCTAATTAATTAAATCGAAATACCAATTCGGTTTAAAAAATCGAAATTGAATTAGTTTTGGATATTCAATTTTGGTTCAGTTTTTAAAATTTTTAATTTAATTTTTATTGAAAACAAACTTTTGATTGTTATTTGAATTTTGATGGTTCAATTTACAATATATTAGAACGATTAACAATTTTTTATCATTACATATTTTAGATGGACTTATATTTAAATTTTATTGCCTTATCATGTGATGTAATTTTATGATTTAATCTTATTTAAATAAATATTTATTACATTTTATATGGACTAATTTAGACTATTTGGACTACAAAAAAACTCTATAGTACATAACACAATTTTTTTTTTTTTTACCTTATAACATTATATTAAAAAATTAAAAGAAAAACATTTTTCATCAAAAAACCAAAATTTCAGTTTAATAAACCGAATAGAAATTCGGTTCATGCTTTTGGTGAGTCCTGTTAACCAAAAATCAAACCGAAAAACCCAATGCTCAAGCCAAGGTGCAATAGAGTTCAGCACTGGATAGGTTCAACTGGATTTGTTTAGCTATGAAAATTGCAGCCTGCTAAGAGACTGCTTTACTGGTTCGTAAGCATTTGTGCTATAAGAGAGAATTAAGAACAGGACAACAATTACACTCAACAGCAAAATTATTTTTCTAACATTATCATTTTACAAACCATTTGGTGTCTGAGAGGTCAACAAAACAGCTATACTGTATCCTACAGAATTACAAAGAATCAGCCGGCTCAACACTGCCCAGTTTGTATACTGCCGCCACCACTCTTCAACGTCTCTTGCACAAGTGCACCACTTTCGTTTGATGCCCACCTTCTGCACTGAATGCCTCATACAACACTGAATGCCGACTGTATGGTAGATGAGACTCGAGAGGCAATGGTCTGGGATGCGAACTGCTGGAACTGCTTCTTAGCATCTAAAAGAAAGAAGAATAACTTTAATTCCTTCCCCATAAAATAATAAAATGAACCACGTAGGATTCGGTAATTGACCAAAGTGATCAATGTTATGTAAACAGTAGAATACTTTTAGCTGCAAATGCAATAGAATTAACAATAACTCTAAAGTATCAGCGCAAGCACAGGGTAACTTTATTCAGACTTATGGCAATTAGTAAGGTTAATACTGAAAGTGAGAAGGATCTGCAGTCATTCCACTTGTTAGTTTTCTCACCCCCCACACGCCTAGAATATTAAAGGAGGTTATATTATCTGAATAGTGCAAGGACTAAATAAAAAAAAGAATTAATTTGATCTTGATCCTAATGACAAGTGATGCAGGAGGTAAACATGTGATACAAGAAGCAAATGAAAATTTACAAATGGTAGTCCAACTTGCAGCAGATTGGCTCTGTTAACATTTATAACTTGCTTGAATTTTATCTCTCTCTGTTTTCAACAAGCTATAGCACTAGGATCTTAGAGATTTAAGTTAAAGCTATTGCATGCATGTGAAGAGCGCAAGATTACGCAATCAAAGGCTCTGCCAGCAAAGTCAATTTTTTGGCTAAAATGGTCTTGAATTAACATTTGGCAGCAATGGTAGAAAATAAGACACTATTGTTTCTTTTACAGCTAGCTATAACTCTAGTAAGTTGGAAAAAAAAAAATGGGTCTAGGTGTAGAATACTAGTTTTGTTGTTTTCCTAGCTTGGAGGGATGGTTCCAAATATAAATAAGAAAGTTTCCATCATCGTAGAGAAGATAATTGTTGAAGTTAAAATCAAATTCAGCTTGTTAAGCTTGTTTTTAGCCCTGGGTCTCTTTGGTGGATTCCATTCTCTCTCTGGTGTGACTACATCATTGGGATTTGTGAGTTTGATCATTCTTCTTCGTATCTAGAGTGGTCATTTTCTACATCTCTAAGAGGTTGAACATCATCTATTCTTCATCTACCCATCCTCCATACTTCCATTCCCATCTAATCCTAACCGGGATTTTGTTGGGATCAGCCTCTCTGAAATTTTCCAGTATCAAGAAGTTAATCGGTCCACAGTTGAACAGCTTCTAAGACCAATGGGATCACCATGCAGTTATTTGGAAACTGATAGATTTATCTAGTAGTGTATTCAGCAGCAGCGCTGTGTTACTTGATGGGAAACCCATCAATGTGTTGCCTTCAATGTCGGCATTTTATTTTGATATAAGCAACTAATTAATCAAACCCTAGCGTGACATCTCACAGCCTCAAAAATTGTCCTTCAAGGCTGGGTCTGATTTGTTTGAAACCAACTGAAATTTCAAGTTACTATTATCTATGTCTATTTAAGCACAATCCACAACCTAATGAACAGTCTTAAAGACAACATTTACGCAAATGATACAATCTCAGAAAACCAAAGAAAATGCTGCTTGCTCACCTTTGCGACATTTGGTGAAGCCAACTATGTTTGCAATGCTGAGAGTCAAGCATACTCCAACAATGAGGCAGTAATCTGCTTGGAATCTTATGAGAGAGAAAATTCCAAGAACAATCCAGGCGCCCGCCTGCAAAGTTAAAGGAAAACAAAATCAAATGTAGAAAATAGAGGAAAACAAAAGCTCAAACGTAGAAAACAACAATCAAATCCTATTCACTTACTGTTAGGTAAAGACTCCACCAGAACAGCCATGAGTCTTTCTTGTTCATCCGGGCCAATGACTAATGCCAAAAAAAACAAAAACAAAAGGGAGATAAACATTGATGAGATTCAATTTCAATATGAAACATCCTTATACAATCGAGCAGGGCACATAACAATGAGTAAATATACAATCAAGCAAGAGTTTTTTGAAACTGACCTCTTGGTCAAGGGATTCGAATTTCCACACACTCTCACCCAGGTCATTTATCTCATTCCACCACCTGAGGCCAACTAAAATCCGACCACTCACATTCTTGACCACCCAAAAATCAAGAGCAGCAAGAAGCACAGTCACCACAAAAATGATGACAAAGCTATTAAAAAACAGAGTAGAAAGGATGTAAAATGCCAAAGCTCCAGCCTGCAGAAAACAAGAAACAGAAGAGTCTTATCTGTTCTATTGAAATTAGCTCAAAAGAGTCAATATTGCAAACAAAAACTAAATATGTCGCATACCTTGAAGAGAACATGAAAGAAACATGTCTTAGGATTGGCATAATTTTCACCAGGGGGCTGTCAAGAAGAGTTAAACATAAATTATTTATGCGGGAAAAAAATTCAATCAAACCCCAATCAGGATTTCCACTTCATATATATATATAATATTCCCATCTCATACAACCAAACACAACAAAGGGGGAAAACATGCTCGAAGAAGCACTATACTCTCTCATTCAAACTTCATAAATTCACTCATCATTAGACTCCAAAAGGAATCTCAGAATTCAAAAATTAGACTGCAAAATATATGCTATAAACTTTGAACTCTCTGTCATGAATTGAAGCGCTTAATCATTGTCTCTACCACATATTATAGTAAATTACCCAATCCTTTATCACCAACACAAAGAAAACAAAACCGATATCCCAACTAGGTTTCTACTAAAATGATTCAGTACATTTAATATAAAACAGACTAAATATCTCATTTGGGTATCCATTAAAATGACTAACGCAATAAAAACAAGCTCAAGATCACAATTGAACTTCTATTAAAATGACTAAAAGCAACGAAAACAAAACCAATATCCTAACTGTGCTACTAAAACAATTCAACACATGGACAACAACCATAATATCTCATTCGTTATATGCAACAAAACAAGCTCAAAATCCCAAATGGGTTTCTATTAAAACGGCTAATCCCAATTGTTTTCACTAAATAAAACAAAATAAAAAACTCAAAATCTCGAATAAAAAAAACAGATCTAACAAACAGTATAAATTCATGCATAAATTAGAAAGTTAATCGAGCCCCAAATTTGTGAGCTACAGGAGGCAATGAATCGTCGAGAAATTGAAGAGAAACAGAGAGATTTTAACTCACCTGGTTAGGCTCCATTTTAGAGCTTCTCTTCTTCTTCTTCTCCTCTTTTCCTCTGTGAATTTAATGTTTCTGTTGGCTTTGTTGATTTGCAGACAGACTTTCTGTTGGGGACTTTTTGTTTACGTTTTCTTCGTAGATCTAATAAATACAACTCTTCATATTTACGAATAAGTTCTCTGGTTTTACATATTTACTCTAATTACCCAACGTTTTTTAAAAAAAAGATCAAGTATTTTTGAATTGTTTTCACGTATTAAACCTAGACATGGTAACGGTTCGGTTCGAATTGTAAACTGAATCGAAATCGAACCATTAAAAAATCGAACTAGAATCGTTAAAACCGTAACCTTGATCAAATTGGATCGTAACCGGCTATCTACAGTTTGGTTATGGTTTAAGGTATCATGGAATCGGAATCGACTCGTTTTAAATCGACGGTTAACCGTAGAATCGAGGGTTCCACATCTTTCCTAATAAATTTGGGTTTGATCGAAAAAAATAAAAAAATTTAAATAAAAAAATCAATTTTATATGAGCTGGACAGTAGCTAGTGGACTGAAAAATGAAAAAAAAATTAAACCTAATAATTTTTAATTTTTGGGCTTAATTTTTTAATATAATAATATATTAATAAATACATATAAAACCATAACCTTTACAAATGTAATTTGTAAAGAGGTAATTTGATATGTAAAAGAAAACTACGTAAGCTTTGATCCCTCTAAAACCCAAGAGAATACGTAGGAAGCTTAATTTTTATAGTGTTTAACAAAATTAAGTTCAAGCCCTTCTTTATTTATTTATTTTTTCCTTTTGATTAATTGTGCGAAATACATTACAATGTAAAAAATATCATAATATTTATATATTATGCAAAAAAGAAGTTTTTTCGTTTCAATGTTAATATTTGATTTATATTTGAGAAAAAATATTCGATTTTTTTTTATTTTTTCATTTAATTAAAAAAAACAGTTAAACCGTCGGTTCCAAACGATTTGGAATCTTCGGTTTTACGGTTCCAAACCGAAACCATCCATAGAAGGTTTGATTCAGATTCCACCTTTTGGTGGAACCTTAACCAATGGTTCGACGGTTCAAGAACCGTTACCATGTCTAATTAAACCTAGTCCGGTTCTCATGCACCAAAATTAAGTTTATTCTTTATTGAATTTTAGGATGCTATTAACTTTAGGACTAAGGTATTATTAAAAAAAAAAAAAAATTCTCTTTTGAAGAAAATTCATAAAAAATAAGTGATTTTAACTTTCAAGGGAGAGTATTACGTATATTGTTTTTTTTTAAATCTTATTTTAAAATCACATAATACGTTTAAGCTAATTTATAAATAATTTTGTTAATTAAATGTAAGATATTTAGGTAGAATTACGGAATTCTAGAAAATTTACTTTAATCATCTTTAGCAAGCTAGAAGTGGTTCAAAAAAAAAAAATTCTCAAACACAATAAAGAGATGTTTAAATAAATCCTTTACCCTTTTGATTTTTTTCAAAAAAAAAAAAAAAAAAAACAATGGATTACATTTGCTAAAACCTTTTCCACATAATATTATATTAATAATGGTTAACACTAGTCAAACGACTAATTAATTTTTTTTGAAAAAAATATTATTTATTCATTTTGCAAAACTAGAGAGACTAGTTTATAATTTACTCATATTTTGTTACCATCAATATTGTTCATTTTTTCTCCAACAATTTAACCAAGTATATTTGTAGATGGACCTTTAACGGACTTGTTCTTGTGTCTGGGCCAGACCATTGTGACATGGGCCGAAAAATGGGCTCAGTTGGACAACCAAACCGAAACGACAACGATTCAGCAAGTTTTAGGAGGTAGGCCCATGAAAACATATGGCGAAAAGAGCAAAGGGTATTGGCTCATGTTTCTATTGGCAAAGGTCAATTCCTGCCATGGCCGAAAGAGAAATAGCAAATTATTCTGTAGTCTCTGGGTTTTGCACATAATCATAACCTAATCCTTCATGTTTTAGAAATAATTATTTGGTCCCTTGATTTTTTTTTAGTATTATTGTCTTATTAAAACATCTTTATCTTGATTTTCTCTTGGAACTTAAATTTTCTAGGGGTAAATTTTGAATTTTCTAAAAAGAACCCACAAAATTTTTAATAATTACATTATAATAAAAGTAAAGGGACTAAGTTATACTTTATCAAACATTAAGGCGTAAGTTATAATTAGGCTCAAAACTTTGGGACATAAAATAGTAGCCTAAGTGTTCCAATCCTCTTCAAAACTTTTAAGTTATTTGAAAATCACTCCCTAGCTTTTAATTTTGAGTTAAATCTTTCTCTAACTATATATTTTTATTTGAAATTGAATTATTTTGTTAACTATTCATCAATTTAATAATAAAAATACATATAATTTGCATGTAGTTGAGTTTTTATTCTCCAACATCTAAAAATATAGTAAAACTTACCGGACGTTTTGTTTTTTCTCTAAAAATTCCCTCTAAAATGTTATTTAATTATTTATTTTTTAATATTTAAGAGACGATAAATAAATTTCGAAAGAAAAAAAATATTTATAAGTTTTGATATATTTTAATTACTGAGAAATTATACTTATATCTTAAAATTGATAAAAATCTAACAAAAACACGAAATTTCAAAAGAAAAATAGTTGAAATAAAATCTAATTCAAAATTAAAAGTTAAAAATCGATTCTCAAATTACTTAAATTTCATAAAAGATTGGTGCCGTTTGGCGATATTAGTACTAGTTTAGTCCAAGAGAAAACTAGAGGTGGAAATGTTGTTTATGAATAAGAGGCTGTGGATATAACCAAAGTGAGGTGGATGATGGGGTCATTGTCTTATCCTAAATTGTTAGAAACCATGAAAAAGCTAAAAGAAAATGAGAAAAAGAAAACAAAGATGGGGCAGAACAAGAAACTTTCAAATTTCTGTTTTAACAAACTTGGGAAGGCAAAGAGAGGATAGCAGTAGTAGAGACTAGAGAGGCAGGCAAACCATGGCAAGGTCGGTGGCTGTCCAGCAGCAAACTCAGCCTTCTTTGTCCCTTCTCCCTTCCTCTTTCTCTGACTTCAATGGCACCAGACTCCACTCTCAAGTCCAGGTCTGTCTTTTTGTACGCCTCTTTATTTGCTCATCCATGATTAGTATATGTCTAGTGTCTCAACAGTTGTGTATCTTTTGTTTTGCAGTGTAAAAGGAGGGTATGGCAGACAAAAGGAGCATTACAAGTTTCAGCATCAATTTCCAAGAACATTCTTATAATGGGAGGCACTAGATTTATTGGTGTGTTTTTGTCTAGACTTCTTGTCAAAGAGGGTCATCAGGTAGGATTATTGTTACCCTTCTCTCCTTTTTCCTTCTTGTTTCCATTCCTTTTACATTTTTTGTTTCTTGCAATTTTGACGTAACTGTGCTGGTTCTTGAAAATGTTGGCAGGTGACCTTGTTTACTAGAGGTAAAGCACCAATTACTCAACAATTGCCAGGTGAATCAGACCAGGATTATGCTGATTTTTCTTCCAAGGTATTTCTTAGCCCAATGGGCATGAAGGGATTCTTGCTTCTCATTAGCTTCTTGTATAAGGAAATGAAGTACTATTGTTGGACTCAGCAGGTTAAAATTTTTGTTTTTGATCATGATATACTAGATCTTGCATTTGAAAGGAGACAGGAAGGATTTTGAATTTGTGAAAACCAGTCTTGCTGCAAAAGGATTTGATGTTGTCTATGATATAAATGGTATGCAATGTATAATTGGCGCATCTTTTCTTCTTTACTTCACATCAGTGAATCAAATTTTTGCTCTTTAATTCTTATGCTCATTTTTTCTTTTCGATATGTTTTTAGGCCGCGAGGCGGTTGAAGTTGAACCTATACTGGATGCTCTACCAAAGCTAGAACAGTAAGCTCTCAACAGTCTACTGGTGATTTTGTTTACAATTCTAGTGGTCATTTGTATAATCATTTCATTGTTAGCTTTTATCAGGCCTTTGATTGGTATTTCGTTATGAGTTTGATTCTTCGTGTTGTTGATTAAATTCCTTAAATCTTGATATCCTCCATGCTTCTCATTCAAAACCACATGTGTCACCCTCGATGGAATGAGTCGATGCAGCTGATCTTTAGCATAACGTAAAAGAAATGCAGTGTTTCAGAGCTGCAATGCTGCCTGCATTTCAGTTCTTCAACAGAGATACTGTTGTAGAATTAAATGCTATAAACAATGCCTTCTCCATTTTCTATATTTAAATATCGCGCGTGTGAAGTTTGATCGATTATGGTAAAGTTACAAGAAATCAGGAAGCTCCAAAAATTCTCTAGCCTTTCCATAATTTCTGCTGTTTCTGGAAATCTGAAGTTCTGTTAATTCTTAGGTTCATATACTGCTCTTCAGCTGGAGTTTACCTAAAATCTGATCTTTTACCGCACAGCGAGGTACGCTTGATAGCATTATTTATTCCACTCACTGAAAAGTTTTCTTTTTGTCAATCTTTTGGTAAAACATATCTCTTCTAACTTGGTACTGTCTGGTTACAGAAAGATGCAGTTGATCCAAAGAGCAGGCACAAGGGAAAGCTTGAGACAGAGAGCTTTTTAGTATCAAGAGGTGTTAACTGGACTTCTATAAGACCAGTCTACATCTATGGACCCTTAAACTACAATCCAGTTGAAGAGTGGTTCTTTCACCGGTTGAAAGCAGGCCGCCCTATTCCAATTCCCAACTCAGGAATTCAAATAACCCAACTTGGTCATGTAAAGGTAACCAAATCTTTGATTCCATAATGCATTTCAATATTTCTGAAAGCAACTTTGGCATGAGTAACATGAAAGCAAGTTTCTGACGAGACAAGTTCGAAACTCGCAGGATTTGGCAAAGGCTTTCATTCAGGTTCTTGGTAATGAAAAAGCCAGCCAGCAGGTATTTAACATATCAGGAGAGAAGTACGTTACCTTTGATGGATTAGCAAGGGCATGTGCAAAGGTAATTTTGGTTGCTGC